GTCAAAAATGGAGCATTTGAAAACAATGGGAAAAAATGCGCCTGTAAGAAGTCAAGAATTCAATACCGGGGAAAACTACCGACAGCATGTTAAATATTCCAATGAATTTGCACCTTCTAAAAAGAACCTGGGCTTACAGTCACCTTGAGGGAAACCTATTCCAAACACTTCACTTCACTTCAGAAGACACGCCATCCCATTTCACAAAGCCGCACTCAAACAGCAGACATCCCACGATTAGTGGTTTGGTCCTGTGCAGTCTTCCGCGCGACTGATGGAGCCTTTGAAGCAACTACTTAACTCAACCGTCAACTATTACTTCCGTCTCCCTGGCCGTCATTAGTCCACGCCTCAATTTTTCCACAAGTTGGATATGCAACAGATAGACGCAACAACACACAGCAGTCGTTCACTGTTTAATAACAGTGACGACTCTCCCATCTGCCTTAGGTAGAAACCAACACTTCGAACTAAAGAAAAATTTGCCGAACGCCTCCATATCTATCAACTCTCTCTCTCCCTTCATGCACATCACAAACACAATCTGGTTGTGGTTTTATTCGATTACGAATGAAATACCTCCAAAACTGACGATGCGTTCCCACAGCAAAGAGTCCTAATAGCCGGATTCCTCGAAGCGTAGAGCGCGGAGAGATAAATTTAATAAATTTAGGCTAGTAGTGGTGATGAAATATCTTAAGCTGATCCGAAACTCTCCATACTCATTAATGCAGTAGACACAGAGTAAAATCCAAAAAGTCAACCACCAGAACATGTCTTATGACACTTACAGATAAAAAAATGGTATGACCAAAAAAGTTATAACTAGAGATGAGCCGCTGGTTAAAACGAGAAGTTAGGATAGGAGGAAATACCCAGTGGGTGTCGTAGCATGACATTTGTGACTGAGATAATTCCGAGGATTAGTACTCGGAACGCGTACGCGAAGTACACCGTAAAATTCAGTTGACAGCGCACTTTTATGGCTGGCAACAACCACCGATAAGGGAGTAAGAAAGCCCGCCAGTAATACAGGCAGTCATATACTAAATTTCAGAAAGGCTACTTTTTTCCTGTGTTTTGGCTCGAAGCACAGCATTACAGTTCAGCCAACCTTCACCTAAACTCTAAAATTAACCATAAATCTAACCTAAATCCCAACTCCCAAAAATAAATTTGGACGACTTTTTAAAGCTTCAAATTGTATTACACTTTTTTCAGTTACCCAGTGCAAATAGAAGCGTGTCTGCATGCTTTTTGTAGACCACGACCTCATGGACAACGCAAAAACTTTTTCTGTCTTGCCCACTGGCAGAGTACAGGAAAATTAAGATGGCAGGCACCACAATAGCATAGGGTTATAATGACCACATAGCGTGGATGCGCTGCGTATTTTGATATATTTTGCATATATTTGATGGCGTGGGGGGGAGGAATGTGAAGGTGCTGGTAGATCAGAAGATTTAAAAAAGTTTTTGGAAAAAGTTAGTGTCATAAGGAGACACTTCATGCATTTGTAGAGAACTTGTACTTCTTAGCCATGTTTTCCTCGGACGCCGCGGGGACAGGTCATGTCTGGCATGAGCACCACGCGTGCGCAAGAGACGAAAACCCCCCGTTCAAGGTCGCTCTGTCTGGCTTACTGGCCAACCACTTTTCAAGGCCAATCCACAAAGGCCCATGGTGTGGGGATTGAATACGATCAGACACTCCCGGAGCAGGCGACCTACTGCCTGTTG